CATGTGAGCTAATGCTGTAGACATCCATTTGAATGGTTTTGGCGTTGGGAGGAAAAAGTTTCTTAAACTCCAAGGTAGGTTGGTAGTGCAAAGGTCCTCAGCCCCTCCACAGCTCGGCCAAATATCAAGTTCTTCCTTTGTAGCACTGACAGACTCGCTGCCAGCATTTTGCTATTTCAGTATCAATTATCTTTCCCACCTTTATTATATTAAGAGCAAAAATCGTGAAACTTTGTCCAGAGTCCATCTTCAAGTCCCATCTGCCCCGACCCCCCACCCAGCTTGTTCCCAGCAGACTTAGCTTGGACACATAGTTAAATCATAGTGTGAATTCTGGCTCTAATCAAACTGGTTTTCATAATGACCAAGTCTACCTATGACCCTTCTCCTTCCACTCTTCCTAACAGGCCTGCTTTTCTCTGGCCTCTGCTAAGATTCCCCAGTCTGATGCACTACGCCTTCTCATTCCCCTTTTTCCAGGGATGGGCAGGAGACAACTTTTTTAAGAACTACTTTTCTGCCAACAAATATGGCACATCGTCCAAGAGCAACATCTGGTGTTGAACCTTCTCACTCTGTGCCATTTTCCAAATCCTTTTCCTCATTTAGGAAGCAGAGCCACTCCTTTTTATTTCCAGCACAACAAAGAGTTGACTATGAGGCCAGGCCAGAGATGGGGGCTTCCTTTGAAATATTGTTCACAAGCTAACAATAAGCTAGAAGTTTCCAGGCAACTCAGAAACATTCTTGGGCCACAACTCCATATGTTGTGTTTGTTGGCCTAGAGGAGTTGCAGTACTCTTATCAGCAGACAGTGAAAGCCAGAGGCATCTGAATTGTACCACACTTTGTAGAGGATCATGGAGGAGACAAAGATGTGCTAAGGGCAAATGTGGGGGAGACTGCTAGATGATTCTACCAGAAGAGAAGATCAAGATCAAGATCAAGTTTCCCTTCAGGGAAACTCTAGGGCCAAGCATTCAGAGTTTTTGTTATGCAGGCAGTTACTGTGGGGACTCGGGAGGCAGGCAGCTCATCTTTGGGAAGGGCACCCGACTTTCTGTGATTGCAAGTAAGTGTTCCTGGCCATCCCCAATTTCTATCAGTTCATGGTTTTGGCCCTTAAAAGATTTTTCAGTGTGTCTTGGAATGCTTTGGCCTCTAAGAAAAGGCTGTTGGGAGCTAGAAGGTTAATGTGAGCAGGAAGATGAACAGGTCACTCTGGCATAATAATCCAAAAGACAACCATGGGCAAGAACATGTACCAGGCCCGCAGCCACAGCCTCTCCAGCTTGCTGTGACCGCACTTCCTAGCCCAGTTCTTTCCTCTGATCTCAGCAGGTCAAAGCCCCAGGACAAAAATCCAAGGGCCCCTTACCCTTGGGCCATAGCAAAGTTCAGCTGAGATCTAAGACATAGTAGGCTTTTATTTACTGGTGTGTTTGTTTTAATTCATCTAAGTAATGCATTAAAATTTTTCATTGGAAAAGCAATTCAAATTATAAAGCCAGCATTCGCCTTCACCTCCGTCCTTCAGTATCACTTTCCTTCCCACAGGTGGTCACTGGGCCTGGTTAGCTATGTTGTGATGAGTTTCTATTTGCAGTATGTTGACATGAAATCTCCTGTCTTTGTGCAAAGAATCTTGAGCCATAAAGAACTCAGATACCATTTGCAGGATTTCACTTAGATACAGGAACTGTTGCTTGAGTGTAAGGGCTGCCTTTTGGTCGGGAACTCCTTGCCCAAGGACAGGTGGATGGACTAGCTGACTCTGAAACCCAGCCTGGTCACTGCAGGACTCCGAAGGGTGCTTCCCTCCTCTGTGGCTTGTCATCCAGTTCTTACTGCAGTTTGTGCTTTTGTAGTGCTGTTCCTGTGAGTGGTTTGATCTTCTCAGCATCTACAAGGTTTTTGCAAAGAAAGGAAAGTTTGTGTGTACTCTGGGACTGGGAGTTACCAACTCACTTTCGGGAAGGGCACCAAACTCTCAGTCACACCAAGTAAGTTCTTCTTTCTGGCTAATTATTCTTCCCAATAAGCCTGTCTTCCATTTCTCAGAAGCTGTCAAAACACAGGTGGTGTTTTCTTTGCTTGGTTTGTGTTGGGTGGTTCGTGATACCAGTTGGAAAACAAGGTTATTAATGCACATATTCCCTGGGGCACCGTACTTGACTTTTAATATCCACGTAGTCTTTCCCTGAGAAAATAGGTGATCTTCCATGAGGAGGAAGGTCCAGGGAAAGTAAGAAGGACTTGGATGGAAATAGACAAAGACCTTCAGGAATAACAAACAAAACGGGATCCCAGGAGATGGAGCTGTAGCCACTTCGAGTGAATTTCCCAGGAGGGGCGTCCGCCACGTCCCATTCTTTCAAGGAATATTATGGCAAATGGAACAGCACTGGGAAGTTGTTAGTTATTAGTATTCATTGCACGTTCTAACCTAATTACAAGGAGATTGTTTTGGCCATCGGCAGTCATTTCAGGTTGTGTTTTCCTGCTTGCCTCCTCCACCTCCACCTGACTTCCTAGAGGCCCCAGTCAAGGTTATTGCAATAGCACTGAACACTGTGTAACACCAATACAGGCAAACTCACCTTTGGGGCCGGGACCACGCTCACTGTGAAGCCAAGTAAGTCGTGTCCGTCTTTGGCTGGGCCTTTAGGGGCAATCAATCACATCATTAGTTTGAAAAATACTTTAATCCTGTGCATCTGCTTGGGCTCTTTATTAATGTTCTTTCCCCAGGCCAAAGAGAGTTGGTTCTTTTCTCTGCTTTAAAATGAGATGTGTGTGCACACATGCTCTTGTGCGTGGTCACTCCTGCTCTAGCTCATGGTGAGGGGCTCTCTGGAGCATATTTTTTCAAGGAAATAGAGAGATAAGTAGTAACTGAGTCGATGAGAATGTCAGGAAGAACCTCCAGAGAGGGCCCTGTACCCAATAACCTCACCTCCAGGCCCTCTGCCCGGATGGGATGGCTCTGGTTCCGCCTGGTGGCATAGGGCAGGAAATTGCTCAGCTTCTCTCCGTAATCAATTCCGAAGTCTAACAATCGTGCTTCCAGAAAGTACTTTCTTACCTCTAACAGTGACCACCCACCCAGATTCCTGTTGCAATTTAAATTTCTGAAGAGAACCACTAGGACCCAAGAATCTAGCTTGAGAACAAAATTTCTGCCCTGGAATGAGACTCAGGGCCTGGTACTCCTGTAGCACCTATGAGGCGATCTGCGCCCCTTGGGCTGTTTAAGCCGGAGTGATCACTGATAAGGCAGTATAGCGAGGGCTTGGGGGATAGGAACCCTGAAACTCAAGTCCTGGCTCCATCACTCTGCTGGCTGTGTGATGTTGGGCAAGTTACTTAATCTCTCTGGACCCTCAGTCTCCCCATCCATAAAATGACTAAAAAAAAACCTACCTACTTTGTGGAGTTATTATAAGGAGGCAATGAAATAATATAGCTAAAGTATTTAGCATACTGGCCAAAACAATGAAAGAACTCATTAAACCCTAGCTATTAATAATAATGATAAACATCATCTCCCACACAGAGTAGAGCTTTTTTCTGTTTCGCCCCTCAGGCTCTTCTGTCAAGCCTCTGTCATGCATCAGGAGAAGAGCTGGCATGGGGGGAGGGTGGAGAATGTCAGGCTGTTCTATGAAATTCTTCACCTGGGATTTGAAAGTGTCTAAGTGAAACAGAAAAAATCCCAGCTAATTTAAATACAAAATCATCCAAGTGTCAGAGGGAGGAGGGGAGGGGTCTGTGTGGCTGGGGCTCGTGAGGCCGGACACAGCTCAGGGCGACCCCTCCACATGGGACCCCAGTCTGACTCCTCCCAGGTGCCCTTCCCGCCCACGGCTCCCCATAGAGGGACAGGGACAGAGAGGGGATGGACACTCGCAGAGAGGGCCAACTTGTCCCGTAATTGTCCTTCCCCTCTCAGTGGTATTGGTGCCCGAAAATAGCCCATAAGTGAAATTCAGCCCCAGAGACAGAGTGTGAGGAGTCTATAGAAGCGAATGGGGCAGTTGCTGTTGAGGGAAAGAGGTTGAGAATGAGTGGGAATTGAGTCCTGAGGCGGGATCTGGGGAAAGAGGCATCTAACACGTGCGACAGGGCTGTGCTCTCAGCACACGGAGATTTAGACCACAGCACAGGCTCATACTGCAGGAAGAAGGGAGTTGGGTTAGTGGTAAAAACCTTCCTAATAGGTTTTTGAACAGTGAAAATGAGCTGTCAGGAGTAGTTGCCAGAGCACTTTCTCTAGAGGGTTTTTGAAAGGAGATAGACACCCTCCTATCAGAGGTGATTGAAGTGCAGCCTGCCTGGAGGCAGGAGGGAAATGAGAGCACCTCTAAGCCTCTTCCCAGCCCCCCAGCCTCTCTGTGAAAATCTCGGGCTCATTAATGCAGAGCTGCATCCTTCGGGAAAAGGGAGTTCCTGGGTTAAGTTTCAGAACCTTTGCTTGGTGTGTCCCAAACTCCCTTTGTTTTCAGGACTGGGCAAGACAGATAGGCTGGCTTTTCATCGTAAAGCCAAAAATGTAGGTTCTGGGTTCTCAATCATTTGTCATGTGAAGATACATAAGGTTTGGGAGCCAGGGGGAGCTCTTGGGGGTTTTTGCAGAGCCCGGCATTACTGTGGGAATAGCTATAGCCAGAGTCTCATCTTTGGTCATGGAACCAGATTGTCTGTGCAGCCCAGTAAGTACAGTCAAGTGGGAGAGGGATGAGCCCAGTGCTGGGCGGAGCGTGACCGAGGGCTCGTGTCACTGTTCACTCTGGCCTCAGGAGCCGGGATGGGAGGGGAGAGAAAGGGAGTGATGGACAGAACTGAAGGGCAGTGAGAGTGTCCTCGCTCACTAGGGAGGAAAACCACAGGCCTGTGTGAATAAGCTGGGAGAAATTCACTGGAGGTTTCCCTCCTCGAGGGCTGGGGCGGAGGAGCTGAGGTGGCAGGTTTTTGAAGCTGATATAATCACTGTGTGCAAGGACAAGGCTTCGCCTTTATCTTTGGGAAGGGGACAAAGCTGCTTGTCAAACCAAGTAAGTGGTATATAATTTGAATTGTGCACTGAATACATTTCCAAGAGAAATTCCTGTTCTCTTTTCCACCGGGACCTCCTTGGGTCAGAAGGACAGGAAGGAGGCTGAGCAGACCAAGGCCCACAACCTCGCCATCCTCCTCATCCTCAGAGGAGCTCTCAGAAGTGTGGGGGGGGCAGAAACCCACAGGAGCCATCCGTCGCCCTCCTTGGGCTCTGTCCTCTCTATCAGACTTCCAATAAGTGAAGCCAGCAGATGACAAGTCTTCCTCGGGAAGGGAGGTGGTGGCCAGAGTATCACCCCATTTCACAGATTTAGAAACAGGCAAATGGAGGCCAGTGATTGTTGTCGTTACAGCAGAGATTCAGGGGCCCAGGACTGTTTCTCCTGCAGACTCATGAATCCAAAACACCAGGTCATTTAAGCGAGAGGGTGGCAGCAGGAATCTGTACACCAGCAGGGCCCAGGGCTCGGTTTGGCATCAGGGAAACCCCGCGGCGTGGTGGGTTGTCACCATGCAGGGACTCCAGCTGGTCAGTTTCCTGAACTCCGAGGTGCCACTCTGCCCGGGAAGCCAGCTCTTGGCTCACATCATCCTTGGCGAAGTGAAAGGAGAGAAATTAGAAGAGAAGGGGGGAAGGCTTATATCTCATATCATGCAGTTACCTCATTTTGTAGCAAGATTGTTTCCCCTTGAGCAGTTTGTCTTCATTTAGCAGCTGTCTTCTCTGGGGAAGCCATTTTGTAGAGGTGTTTGTCACAGTGTGACAGTGACAACTGGGCGGGATTGAAATTTGGAGCAGGGACCCAGGTTGTGGTCACCCCAGGTAAGCCTCACTCCCTGGAGCCTCACCGGCCCTTCATTTCAAACCCGTGTGCCAAAGACTGCTCGCTGAGACCATGAGCAATGCATTTGAAAGGAAGCCATTTCCCTGAACAGCAATACCCAGAGCCATTAAGCAAAAATGAGAGATCAGTTTGATGTTAAATAGAAACATTTTTGGATAAATAGGAATTCTCATTATTCTCTATCAGTCCCCTGTGTAGTACCTTATTCCCCTTATAAGGAAAAAAGTTACAATAAGAAGTATGGCCATGACTCATGCTGTGGTGTGGGAGAGATCTGCTGTGGATTTGGGGGGAGGGGGGAGGATTAGAAATGTGTGCAGCAAGATTGGATGTGTTTTTGACAGGATATGTAACACAGTGTGAATTATAACCAGGGAGGAAAGCTTATCTTCGGACAGGGAACTGAGTTATCTGTGAAGCCCAGTAAGTATAAAAGTGTATCCCTGGATTAAGCAATGTCTGTGGATTAAGGGCTGATTTAGACCCAATTATACACCATATGAAGAATGTTTTAAAGGGTGAGTGAGCATCAAATAGAAGAAGGACAATAGTCTCCCTGGCTACAGTCCAGCATTTCAGTGCAAAATGGTCCATGTAAGAAAGTCTTGGGATTTGCTCACAGAAAACCTGAGGTGGGATCATGTTTGTGACTGATGACTTGGGGTACTGGTGAGGATCTGTAGCCCTGGATTTGTGCATAATCGTGACAAGGCTTCTAATTCCTTAACAAGCCCTCTAAGGCACTATTCTCTTGGCTAAATTATGTCAATTTCTAGAAGGTACCGTGTAAATAATGATCATGAACCAAAGCAGCTGTGCTTAGTCTCTCCCAAAGTCTGAAAACTTTTTTTTTTTTTTCATTTTTAGTTTCTTCCTAAGTACCATGGGACACTTTCTATTTCTGAGACTTAGGCCAAAAATTCATAAAACGAAACCCCACAGACCAAAGAGGGGCTTTAAAATCACCTTTTTGCTTGTCTCTATGTATAAGGGAAGCCAAGGCCCAGGGAAGACATTGTTCATGGCCCCATGGCCTGGCTGTGGCTAAGCCAGGATCAGAGCTGAAGGCTCCGGGTTGCTGAGGCTGCCTCTGCCACTCATTCTCCAGGAAGTGTGAGGAGCCCCTACGACTCCTCTGACAAATGTGCTTGTGCCCCCAACTCTATGCCAGACTCGGGGCTCAGACCTGGGCCCCTGGAGGAACAAACTCAGTGTGGTATTGGCCCGGGGGACTTACATTCTAGAGTGAATCCATTTGTTCCCTGGGCAATGATGATCCATATGCTGGCCCCTCTTGCCTGTGACCTATTTCTATCATCCTTACTACCTTAGAAAATATTACAATTGATTTTTTTATTGCAGTTTTAAAGTCTCTTAGAAGCTAAATCAACATAGATACTACTTTGGTCATGAAAAAGGAAATGGCTCAGAAGTGAAGTAGAAAATTAGCCCTCTCCCTGATCATTATTTGATCATTATAAAATGGTTTTATCAATCTTAAGCTAGTGGCCACATTAAATGGGTGATACCAGCTCTGTGCCTCATCTGTATTCCATAGATTCAGTCTAAGGGAGAGTTAAGGATAAGAGCAGCTTCCTGGTGGTGTAGCCCAGTGATGTTGAGAACAGAATAGAAACATCCCCTTTCTGGACTTTGTGATACTTCTTCGATAAAAAGACTGAACTCTGGTGTGGCATCTAACATCAGAGAGCATTTATTATACATATATACTGGAAGCATACATTTGGTGCTTAGAACTCCAGAGTAAAAAGTGAAAAGCAAAGATTCCTTAAGAGAAGTGACATTGTAAAGACAGATTGATTTCAGATTTGTAGGCCATCCGGCTACTCCAAATCAAACCCTGACTGACAATGGAACAGTCCTACTTCATAAAGGCATTTCGGGCTCCATCCGCTCTTCTATGCCAGCGGGCCTGTTTGATCTGGTTTTTGCTATTGGGCATATCACAGTGTTTCTTCTGGCTCAGGCTGGAAACTGACCTTTGGATCCGGGACCCTCTTGACTGTTGTACCTGGTAGGCTACCACAGTTTAATGCTATTTGCACTAATTTACTCATCTATACATGTCTACATATGTGTAACTCAGTGGGCCTGGGGTTGAAGGTAGGTGAGAGGTTCCACAATGAACACTTAAAAGGTGTACAAAGAGACTTCCAAAGACCAAAGAGAAAGAGAAGCTGGTTTTCTAAGTTTGGAATAGGAGTTGATGAAAAGGAATAGAAAAGCAGCTCACCTAACCTAGAAGAATTGTTGGATAATAGGAACTGATACAGGGAACCTCTGTTTCTCATAATATTTTTATTAGAACCAGACAAAATGCTCTAAGATGCTTTTACCAGGAACTATATAAAATCAAGCCTAGTTGGCCAGCTCCTTTTCTAGGCTTCTTTAGTTTATTTTTACATAAGTTGTTTAATACAAAGGTGCCTATCTAAGATATTGAAATGAAGCTTTGTTTCTATAGCTCTCTGGTGCCCTTCCAGCAAAACATTCCTGCAACACACTGCTTATCATTTCCACAAGTAAGAACAAGTAAGCCCCTTGCCCTCCAAACTGCATAAGTATTATAATTACTTGGCTTAGACTGAAGTCACCTCTATTTTATTTCTCATAACTGTGTTCATTTGTTGAAATTTGTTTAAATCCAAGCTGTGTGGGCGTCTAACTGTTGGCACTGAGGTTTCCTTTCTCTTGAAATTGTCAGCAAAATATTTTGCCCATAAATAATGTTTCATCTAGACTTGCAAATGACAGCCAACACTGTGGCCTTTTTTTTTTTTTTTTTCTCTTACTCTTTCACTTTGCTAAGGGGAATATGCAGGCAGAAAGCAAAGAAAGACCAAAATGTACAGTTTCATTGTGGGGCTGGAAAGAGGGTATCTACGTGGGTTTAAAGTACATTTGGTTCTCTAATGTAAGTACTTTGACAGTATGCAGAGATTTTTTTTAGAGAATATGTGCAGAATAGAGCTACATTGTTGTTGTGGTTCAGAATGTCATTAAGAGAAGCTCAGTTCTGGTTGTCAAGCACAGCACAGATCCAGGTACAGACTCAGGAAGAGAAGCTTCTAGAAAGCCTAGGAATTAAAGGTAGAATAAGGATTTTTCTCCCAGTCAAGCCCACCTGAGGAGAATTTTCATTTATAATTAAAACAAGAGAAAGGTAAAGAGCATTTACTTGCACTGTGTTTCGAATATTGTGTGTATGGAGCACAGAAGACACAGAAAGAACCCAAGCAGAAAACGAAAGAAAAGAAATCGATAAAACCACTGAAGAAAATCAGTTGCCCTTATCTTGCCTGTCTCTGATAATGAATGAGCTTTCTTGGCTCATTCCTCACTTTGGTTCTTGAATTTTCTAAGGAAATAACAAAAAACTAGTGGAGTTGGGTTAAGCATCTCTAGAAAACACACCTCTCCCTTTTAGGAAGTCCCAGGAGACTTTTTGTAATGATCATCAACATGGTGTACAATGCTAACTTGTTTTACTTTGGATCTGGAACCAAACTCATTGTGAAGCCAAGTAAGTTATAGGTTCTACAAGAAAATGTTTTATCTTCAATTCCTCTTAACAGTTTTTATGTGTTTTGTTTTTTATTTTTCTCATTTTGGATTCCTGTCCATATTATGTCCTCATTCTTGTTCATATGTTTCTTAGATAGAAGCTGAAGTAAACAAATCCCATGACTCAGTAAATATTCTGACACGACTACCCATATTTCTTGGGATGGCATCCTCTATAAGGAAAATCCCCAAATTTAAATATTGCTACTTTCACTAGTTGATAAGAGAACATTTGGATATAATTTAAAGTATTTATAAATGTCAAGGATTTCAGAGAGGAGATATGACAAATTTAAAGTAGATGTATTTTTAAAAGAGGAAAAGAATTATGTATTTTTGACAATAATCAAATAACGCTCATTTATTGAACACTTACTATGTATATAGTTGTGTGGAAATGCCTCTCATGCTTTAATTCATTTAACTTTCCCAACAACCTTCTAAAATAGAAATTTTCATCCCCACTTTCTGAAAGGAAGAAACTATATGAATGTGAAAAGTGAAATGAAGGGGTTAAAATAGTTGCCCCGGGGCCAACAGCACAGAGAGGTCCGACTGAGACAGAC